AGGCTGCGTCCCACATACAGCAACTAGAAGGATGTGCAGCTATGACATACAACTATCTACTGGGGCTTTGGGGGAAAAAACAAATAAATAAAATTATTAAAAAAAAAAAAAAAAAAAGTATTGTGATTCAGCCAGGGGTATTACTGAAGATATTTTACATTAAAATCTTCAGTGATCTTGGGGCCGACACCGTAGTGTAGCAGTTAAGTGCACGCGCTGTGCTGCTGGCAGCCCGGGTTCGGATCCTGGGCGCGCACCAATGCACCGCTTGTCAGGCCATGCTGTGGCGGCGTCCCACATAAAGTGGTGGAAGATCGGCACGGATGTTAGCTCAGGGCCAGTCTTCCTCAGCAAAAAGAGGAGGATTGGCATGGATGTTAGTGCAGAACTGATCTTCCTCAAAAACAAAAGAAAACAAAACATGGGCCGGCCCCGTGGCTTAGTGGTTAAGTGCGCGCTCTCTGCTGCTGGCGGCCCCGGTTCGGATCCTGGGCGCGCACCGACACACTGCTTCTCCGGCCATGCAGAGGCCGCGTCCCACATACAGCAACTAGAAGGATGTGCAACTACAACATACAACTATCTACTGGGGCTTTGGGGGGAGAATAAATAAATAAATAAAATCTTTAAAAAAAAAGAAAACTTCAGTGATCTGTGGTTGAACTCAGAAGACATACACACTAATACAGTATTCATTATACTTAAGATATTCAACTAGTAATATTTTTTATAACACTTTATTCAGATATAATTTGCATACCATACAATTCACCCATTTAAATGTACAATTCAGTAGTTTTTAGTATATCCACAGAGTGGTACAGTCAATCACCACAATCAAGTTTAGAACATTTTCAGCACTCACAAAGAAACCCTGTATTTGCAGTCCTCCCATCCCCCTCGCCCTAAGCAATGACTAATTTACTTTCTATCTCATAGATTTGCCTCTTTTGGATCTTTCATATAAATAGAATCATATAATATGTGGTTTTAGCATAATGTTTTCAAGATTCATCCATGTTGTAACATATATCAGTATTTCATTCCTTTTTATGGCTGAATGATATTCCATTGTATGGATATACCACATTTTGTTTATCCATTCATCAGTTGATAGACATTTGGGTTGCTTCTACCTTTTAGCTATTATGAATATTGCCACTAATGAACATTCATGTACAAGTTATTGTGTGACATATGTTTGCAGTTCTTTTGGATATATACCTAGGAGTAGAATAGCTGGGTCAAATGGTAGCTATATGTTCAACTCTTTGAGGAACTGCCAGACTGTTTTCCAAAGTGACTGTACCATTTTTATATTCTCACCAGCAGTGTATGAGAGTTTTGAATTCTCTACGTCCTTCAACATTTGTTATTGTCTGACTTTTGATTGTAGCCATCCTTGTGGGTGTGAAGTGGTATCTCCTTATGGTTTTGATTTACATTTTCCTGATGGCTTATGGTGTTGAGCATCTTTTCTTGCTTTTTGGCTATTTGATATCTTCATTGGAGAGATATCTATTCAAATTCTTTGCTCATTTTTTAATTGGGTTATTTGTTGATTATTGGGTTGTAAGTGTTCTTTATCTTTTCTAGGTACAAGTCCCTTGTCAGATATGTGATTTGCAAATATTTTCTCTCTTTCTGTGGGTATTAATATTTTTTAGTAAATTCTCAAAAGGTACCTATGTTCTGTTTCATTGAGCTCTACTATAGAGTTTTACAATATTATTTTATGTTTGGTATTAATTTTGCTTTTCTTTCTTTTTTTTTTTTTGAGGAAGATTGGCCGTGAGCTAATGTCTGTTGTCAATCTTCCTCCTTTTTTCCTTTTTTCTCCCCAAAGCTCCAGTAGATAGTTGTATGTCATAGTTGTACATCCTTCCAGTTGCTCTATGTGGGACGCCGCCTCAGCCTGGCTCGATAAGTGGTATGTAGGTCTGCGCCTAGGATCCAAACTGGTGAACCCCTGGCTGCGGAAGCAGAGCACACAAACTTAACCGTTACGCCACCGGGCTGGCCCTAATTTTGCTTTTCTTGAAGGAAATAGATAAAGCCTGTACATTTTATGTGTATTTTATGTATATATAGTTTATGTAAAATGTATACATACATTATATATATATTTAGAATTTTATAAATTATTTTGCTCTTTGTTGATAATTTGGAGAGTAGTCAATGGTGTCATAAGGGAGCACGTTCAGACTTTTTAATATGTTGTTTTCTTATTATTTGTGATTATTGGCAAAGTTAAATATTTTACTGTTCTTTATCTTTTCGAAAACTTGACATATTTAACAGCATATGATTCTATAATTGTCTGTTTTGTCTTTTTCTCTTAAACAATTGGTAAGATTTGTGTCATGGGGTTGGATTTCTCTTCTGCACACTTTTTCATCAGTTTGTAAACCCTGTTTGATTCAGTCCTTCACTGAGGCTGGTTGGCCTGTGTTCTTTTACCTCTTTATGTTCTTACTTTCAGTGAGGTTTATTTGAAGAATGTCTACTAGGTACATAGAATGGATTTTCAGTTGCATTTTTGAAGAGTATATTTATATTGTTCCTGCAAGAGTTTGGTCAAACTGCACAAATAAAGCCACTTAAGGGATTCTTTACAGGTATACTTGGCCACTTTGGATGAATTTGGAAATACATGGATTTTTTTCTTTTCATAATACCTTGTGGTATGGAAGTACTTCTCTGTGCTAGAAGTTGGTCACTATTTTGTTTAGCAGGAGAGAAAAGAAAATATAATAAGTAGTTTGTATAGAAACTCTAATTTAAAGCATATACGCATTTAGTAATGAATACTCATTGGAGTTAATTGTAAACAGCTTTCTGGTTCTATGGACTGCTCCTCATTGCTAATTAAGTTTGCAAAGGTGATTCTGTCCCTTGCCCTCATTCCCCAAACACATTCACACAGAAGGAAGATAAACAAAAATGATTGGTCAGGATTCTGTGATGATTTTTGTGGATTGCAAAAATGGGCTAATGTAGTGAAATGAAGGGTAATATTTGAGAGTCAAAGAATTCTTAAGTGAAGGGATGTTCTTTCAGTAAAGCAACAGCCTCTCTTCTAGTGCCTACTGGAATGTCAAGGTTGTGGAAATAGGCAATATTGCAACAAGAGGAAGATAAAAGTTATCTCGAGAGAAATAGCTGGGAGCAGAGAAAGTGTTTTCTCATGTAGGGGGCCCTGTGTGTGTTTATAGGCAGGAGGAAAGACTGAACACACAAAAGGGTCTAGGAACCTGAGTGGGTGCAGGTTGGCGTGGAGGAGGGTCCCTTCATTCTCTGGTACTGAAGAAGGAAAGGCAGTGTTTATAGAGAGAGATTTTGAAGTTGGAAGAAGAGTCCAACATGACTTTGATTTCAGAAAAATGGCTCTAAGACAGTTCATACATTATAAAAACTATGTATTCACCAAAAAAACCTCAGAAAATACAAATTGGTAGGGAGAAAAAGAAATACAAAGTTATCTATAGTCCCACCAAGGAGACACTCTAATACTAGTGAGCTGCGTGGTCCAGAATAGTTCCAGGCACACGTGGCTGTTGAGCACTTGAAATGTGGCCAGTGCAACTGGTCATTTTATTTTATTAATTTAAATTTAACCACATGGACAGTGCAGTATAGAATATTTTCATCACCACAGCAAGTTCCGTTGAATAGTACTGCTCTAGAGTATTTCTTCCTGGGCTTTGAAGGCTGTTTGTGTTAATGTGGTGGTTGTTATGGTAGCATAGCATCTCCTAGTTGTACGTTTTATTAAGTGGCCATCCCTGCTTATCCCGTACCAGCCTGTGGGGAGGCACAGCCTTTCCGTAGCCTCCTGAAATTCCTCCTAACTCCCACAGTTGTATCACACTTAGATGGATACTGTTTATGTCATTTTTTGAACCATTCTCTCCCCTCTTCACTCCCACCAACTTCTCTTAGCTGGGCTCGAGTTTTTGGTTTGCAGAAGAATGTCCTCTGCCCAGTGAGGGGGGTGAAAGTTTCTCCTCCCTTCTCTATCAGGCATGGCCTTGGGCTTGGGGGGCCCTGGGTGACCTCATTATACCAGATGGCAGCAAGCAGGCTCTCAGGATGTGTGGAGGATGGAAGATTGAGTGCTTGAGGGACAGGGAGAGGGAGGGTCCCTGAGATGGTTCTGTTCCTGCCTTCCATCCCTCCTTTTCCAGCACCACCTCTGGGTCTGAGCCCCCTCCCTACTTGTGTTGTGCAGGTGCATCCACTGCGGGGTCGTCCACCTGACCTTGGCCTTGCTGAAAAGCCACATCCAGGAGCGACACTGCCAGGTTTTCCACAAGTGTGCATTCTGCCCCATGGCCTTCAAGACTGCCAGCAGCACCTCCGACCACAGCGCCACCCAGCACCCCACCCAGCCCCATAGACCCTCCCAGTGAGTACAGCTTCAGGCCGGCAGTCCCTGGAGGGCAGAGTGGAGTGGCCCAGGTTCTGTGGAGGGAGGTGTTGGGAAGGACTGGGGAGCCGGGGCTGGTGTCAGAGATGCCTGGAGTCTACCGCAGACATTCTGAGGCGGGGGCGTATCCACATTGGCTCAGAGTAGTGCTGTCCCAAACCTGACCCTGGTTCAGAGAGTGCAGAGATGGGATGGAAGGGCCGTGTGGTTCTGCCAGCAGAGCCTTGGCCACCTCACACCCTGGGGCTTGTCTCATCAGGCTCATTTATAAGTGCTCCTGTGAAATGGTCTTCAACAAGAAGAGGCACATTCAGCAGCATTTTTACCAGAATGCCAGCAAGGCGCAGGTGGGCGTCTTCAAGTGCCCTGAGTGCCCGCTCTTATTCCTGCAGAAGCCAGAGTTGATGCAGCATGTCAAGGTGGGATGCCTTGGAGGTGGCAGGGGAGGAAGGCACGTGCCTTGGCTGGGGGTCTGACTCTGCATCTTTCCCCTCGCCCAGTCAGTAATCGCTCTCCCCATCCCCAGAGCACCCATGGTGTTCCCCGAAACGTGGACGAGCTGTCAAGCCTCCAGTCACCTGCGGACGTGTCCTCAAGCCGCTCTAGCTCTCGAGTTTCCACTGAGCCCCCGGCCGCTAGTGTGGCTGGTCGCAGCAGTTCCTTGTCTTCTGGCCGCTGGGGCAGGCCTGAGGCCCATCGCAGGGCTGAGGCCAGGCCCCGACTGAGGAACACTGGCTGGACCTGCCAGGAGTGCCAGGAGTGGGTTCCTGATCGGGAGAGCTACGTGTCCCACATGAAAAAGAGCCACGGCCGGGTAAGTGTAGTCACATGGTCACAGTGCAGCGCCAGTCTCTGGACTTCTTCCTGTAGGGTCAGAGGCCCCTCATGTGGCTGACCTCTCAGGGTTCCTGGTGCTTTGGGCAAGGTGGGTACCACAGATCTTGAGGTCTTTGGGGCATCCTCCTTTCTGCCTACATCATCTGAGAAGAAAGATGCGCCCAGGACTATCTAATGGTTCTGATGCTTTGCATTCTGTCATCTCCTGTAGACAGTGAAGCGGTACCCGTGTCGGCAGTGTGAACAGTCCTTCCACACCCCCAACAGCCTGCGCAAACACATCCGCAACAACCACGACACAGTAAAGAAAGTCTACACTTGTGGGTGAGTCCCCAGAGGTGGAATCCAGGAGGACTGCAATTCAAAAAGACTGTCCATGGTACCACAGCTATGAGATCAGGAGTCAAAGGCAGGAGATAAGTGAATTTCTAAAGGAAAAATGCTGTGGCTGGATCAGAAATCAAGGCATGTCAGAAACCAGTTTCTAGAACCTGGTAGCTCCTGAACCCTCCCTCCTCCCACCTCCCTAACCCTGGGCTGCACTGCCAGTCAGTAGTGAAGGGCCTTGAGGTTTGAGGGGAATGGTGGTGATGTGTGCCTGTCTGGCAGAGAGGCTTCAACACCATCTGTCTGTGCTTCAGGACATGCCCCAGCCTCTTTCATGCTGTCCACCAGCCCAGCACTTGGGCCTCTCGGCAGTGATATCAGGGAGTGGAGAGTAGGATCATGGCCTAGGGCCAGCACAAATATTCTGACTTGCTGTTGTCTGCCACCTTGGCTGGCTTGCTAACTAGATTTCTCTGGGGAGTACCCAGCACCACGCAGCCAGTCTGAGGACCACCCAGCCAGCTGTCTGCCTACTCCAGACTCTCTTTCCTGGAGCCAGAAGCAGCTTTCACCTCTGCCTGCCTGCCGGGCCTGCCTGGATCTATTGGGCCCTGGAGCCTGTCATCTCACATGACCTCTTCTGGCTGTGCTTTTGCAGGTATTGCACGGAGGACAGCCCCAGCTTTCCTAGGCCCTCCCTCCTGGAGAGCCACATCAGCCTTATGCATGGTATCAGGAACCCTGATTTGAGCCAGACGTCCAAAGTCAGACCTTCGGCTGGACATTCCCCCCAGGTGAGTGTGGGGCCCCTGCTCTCTGGAGCAGCCTGCTCAGTGAGCCTGGAGCTGGAGGTTACTAGGAAGGCTACAGGGAGCCCACCTGTAATTGTGGCCATGGAGCAACCAGCAGTGACAGCTTCCCCCAGTGTGGGTCACTCTCTAGCACCGTGTGACCCTCCTGGGGACTGCACACAAGTAAAGGACAGGGACAAAGACCTGTGAGGCAGCCCACTGGCCTTCTGTTCCTGTTGTTTCCCTGTCACTGTGACCCCGTCCTCAGGTGTGTGCTGCGCTCTGGACACTAGACTACTTTCACACACACCGTCCTGCTTCTGCCTCACTGCAGTCCTAGGAGGCAGGGCCAGGCGGGGCTGACTGTCAGGTGAGGATGGCGATGCTCGGCTCAGTCACACTCACCCGTCCCCCACTGGTTAAGGGAGGAGCCAGGCCTAGATTCCTGCTACCCTGGACCCTTGTCCTGTGACCTCATCCCTATTCCATGCCCTTTTCCCATTTCTGGTGAACTTCTGGAGCAGCCTGCTTTCCCTTCCTCACTGTAGTCTCTTCCTACTCTATGGTAGGGGGGCTGCTCCTCAGAGGGGTCAGGCATGTCTGGCTGAGAGCTGCCTGGAATTCCAGAGCATTCTTTCTTGGCTATTCAGAGAAGGGCACTGGTCAGCAAAGGCCCTTTCACACATAGCAGGTGGGGTGTCAGTTGACATTTTGGCAACATCTGTCTGTGATTAAAATGCACATCCTTCCTTACCCTCCAAATGCATATACCCTTTGACCTAGCAATTCTGCTTCTAGGATTTATCTGTCAGATATCTGTGGCTTTGGGCATAAGGAAATGCATTCAAGAATGTTCACTGTAGCACTGTGTGCAGTAACAGGGATGGAATTTGGCCGAGTGTCCACCAGTGAGTGGGGCCTGCTCATCCCCACGATGGGTCAATGTGCTGCTGTTAGGAGAATGAAGCCTCTGTATGTGCTCTCATGGAGACAGGCGCCAGTATATATCGTTAAGTGAAAAAAGCAGGGTGAAAAGTGTGCATGTAATGCTATCATTTTGTCAAAGACAACAGTTTTATTTTTGTATATGCATAGAATATCTCTTGGAGGAGCCACAGAACCCAGGTAATAAGGTGTTTCCTGGAGAGCAGGCCTGGGGAGTGGGATACGAGGGCCTTAATTTTCTCTATTCCCTTCCCATATCTTTGGATTATTGTGCCACATGCACACGTTACATTAAAAAAAAAAAACAAAAGCAAACCAAAAAAATGAAACAAACCAAACCTAGACCAGTGTTCAGTGCTGGGGTGCCTCTGGCCTGGGTGGTGATTCTGTGAGTCCTTGAGCAGCACTGGTCGTGTCTGGGAGCTCATGGCTCAGGCTCGGGCTTGGCCTGGCCTCTCTCACACTGTCTCCCCTTTCAGGTGAACCATCTGAAAAGACCAGTCAGCGGAGTGGGGGATGCTCCAGGCACCAGCAATGGCACGATTGTCTCTTCCACCAAAAGGCACAAGTCCCTTTTCCAGTGTGCAAAATGTAGCTTTGCCACAGACTCGGGGCTCGAGTTTCAGAGCCACATACCTCAACACCAGACGGACAGCTCCACAGCCCAGTGTCTCCTCTGTGGCTTGTGCTACACCTCTGCCAGCTCCCTCAGCCGCCACCTCTTCATCGTCCACAAGGTGAGAGACCAGGAGGAGGAGGAGGAGGCGGCGGAGGTAGCAGTGGAGGCGGCAGAGCCAGAGGAGGGCTCCGGGGAGGAGGTGTCCATGGAAACCAGGGAGAACGGACTGGAAGAATGTGTCAGCGAGCCTTTGTTGGGCAACCCAGAGGCGAGGAGATCACTGGGCCCGGCCCCTGAGGAGGACGGTGCCCAGGATACTCAGAGTCAACCACAGGCCTCTCAGGACCGGGACAGCCACGCACTGTCCCCTCAGGTGTGACCGGAGGCTTTGCAGTGTGTGCAGTCGGGGTGGTGCCATGGTGTCCTCCACCTGCCGTGTGGACAGTGGGAAATAAAAGGCTCTGCCCGGTGTTGAGTGTGGCCACTGTGCCCTGGAGCAGTGTCTGCAGTGTTCCCCAGCCCCAGAAAATGTGGGATTGCCCAGGACCCTCAGAGCTCTGAATTTGCTTCTGTTATTTATGGCTTTGTGCTGCTTCTTGATACCCCGACTCTTGTCTGTGTCCTTCCAACCCCAGGCTGCTTAAGTGGCCCAACCCCGATGCTGTCAACTCAGCTTGAAACCCTTCAGCGGCTGTGCTCTTCTGGGAGGTTCCCTGCTTGCTGCCTTCAGCCAGGGGCCTCCTCAGAGCTCTTGGCCTGCGGACGGCAGCTCTCCTTCCTGCCATCAGAGCCTGCGAGGGCCGAGGATGCTCGTGCAGTCCCTTGTGCAGAGGAGAGCTCTGCCCAGCCTGGCTCGGCGAGGGCCCTTGGTCACCGTGCCCTTCTTGTCTTCTCTGATTCTTTTCCCCAAAAATAGTCCTGGAGAATTAATTGTCACACTGGCTCATCCTGTCTGTGTGGGTGGGGGAAACTTGTGCAGCACACCTCTGTTTGGAACCCGGGAGAACAGGAAATGCAGCCAGGGCAGGCAGGCACGGAGAGGCAGGCCCCTTCAGAAGGAGCTGGGCATCCTTGTTCTGCTGCTGTTCTGCCTTTCCTGGCAAGTGGGGTTTGGGGCACACAGACATTGGAATATTTGTACTCTTGCTCCTGTGCTATTAGAGAGGCTGCTGCCCCAGGAAGGCCAGCCCCTCCTCCTCTTGGCTACACTCATGTTGCTCAGACTATATTGCAAATAAAAAAATCTTCTTACCATGCAGGTAGGCTCTTGTATTCCTCTTCAAGTGAGCCTGGCCCTACCCTGCTCCACCTAAGGGTCTTTTCCAGACTTCCCTCATTGTCCCATCTCTGAGAGAGAACGATGTTTCCCATCTCTGAGAGAGAACAGTGTTTCCTACTGTCCAAGGAAGATCCTCACTAGATTCTGGACCTGTGGTTAGGAAACCAGGGGCCTGGTACTCCTTGGTTCTCTAGAGATCTTCTGGAAGGGTGAGGAGAGGGTCTTAACGGTGGTGAAGAGTCACCTCCAAGGTCTCCCTTGGGCTAGTGGCGTTGGCTTTAGGGCCTGTTGAAATTTTCTGGGCAACTCCATCTTTCCTACAAATGGATTTTCAACCTAAGAGAACCCCTTATTGGTGAGGGGTGGGAGAGAAGGGATAGAGGGAAGGAATTTGCTAATTTTCTCGCAGTGTTCAGGAGGCCTTGGTATTTCCACTGCCACAGGGAACTCAGGTGTGGCAGAATTGGAATTAGACATGGGAGGCTTGGCTGCCTTTTCGCTGATGGCAGAGTTAGAGCCTCACCAAGCACAAGGAGCAGGCTGTATGGAGGTGTCATCTGATCTCTGACCTGAGTGGCTGCTGCAGGCCTACATGGGTGGGATGTGGGACTGGGCCCAGCAGGGTCTAGTGCAGCAGGGGGAGGTCGGTGCTGGCTGAGTTAGAGGTGATCTTTCAAGAGGGGCATTGAAAAATACATCTTCCTCTCCCAAATGCCAAATTTTTGGTGAAAATGCTAATGGCATTGGGAAAGGTTAGTGCTTGCCTTAATTTCAGAGGGACTCTGCTGTTTAATGATTGCTATACCTAGCAAGGCCACCGTGGCCTTACTTGCCAAGCAGGCAGTGAGGGCAAGCCGAGCTTGATTCCAGCTGCCTGCAAAGCCAGAGCTACCCCAACTTAGCTGTCATCCCTTCCCTAATTCCAGTTGCAAGGTGCCCACCCTGCACCCCGGGTCCACTCAGAGGAGCAGATTATAGAGGAGGCTGATTTGAGATGGATGGCTGAATCTCTTCCTGCTCAGAAGCAGTGTAGCTGGAGTAGGGGAGAGGAGGTGAAATCACAGGTTTCACCACCTGTCCTGACCCTGTGTCCGTCTTTCCTTCCTGGGAATGACATGGAGTGGAAGGAACGCCGAGCCACTCACCAGGAAACCTGGGTCCCAGCCTGGGTTCTGCCCTAAACCAGCTCTTAACAAACCCCCTAACTTCACGGGCCCCTCTGCTTCAGAATAGGGCTAGAAATTCCCATTCAACTAGCTTCACAGGCTTTTATGAGTTGGTGAATGTGGAAGGATTTTCTAGTTTATGAAACACTATATAAATGCGAGGGATTCTTGACTTGACTTTAGGGCATGGTGGGTGGAAGGTAACCTGCCTGCTGTCCAGACTTGTATGCTGATGGTCAGTTATGACTGGTCCAGGACACCTCTCCGTTATTTAGAAATAGTGATGATAATAGCACTTTAAGCCCTGCTCGCATGTCCAGCATCTTGCTAAACACTTTCCAGTGATTCTCATTTAATCCTCACAGTGATCTCACAGTTACCCTCCATTTCACAGTGGAGAAAACCGAGGTCAAATGACTTGCTGGGCCACCTGTGAGTGATGGTGCTGAGTCAAGCCTGCTATTCTAAAGTCCACGATGTCAACCACTGTGCTGCCTTAGTGACCTGGCTGCCTTGGCTGACTGCCAGCTTGTCAGTGGTTTGCAGCCATCCGGACATGCACTTTCCTACCTCCCTACGGTTGGGGTGTCCTACTGAGTGCCAGGTTCTCTTTGGAGTCAATCTGTGTCCTGTCACCCCAAGGAGAGCCCTACACATCACATTTACTTGTGATGTTCTGAAGCACATGCCGGTGTCTCTAGGACCTGTCATTCCCATTGAGATTTATCTTACCATTGGAAGACCATCATTTTGGGAGGGGCCATCCTTGAAAAGATTACCCAACCCTCCCAGGCAACATGGTTCCCTCTGGGTCTGATATAGTCTGCTCTTTTCTTTTTTAAGATGTTTTTTGATGGTTGTGCTATCATTTGTTATCATCAGAAAATGCTTGCTGTAACAAGCACTTATCTGCACATTAGCTGGAGTGAATGCTCTGCTGATCAAGTTAAACAGATAAGATCCCCACCCTTGTAGAGACTACAACTTAATACACTCGAAGGCTTGACAAATGACTAGTATTTATTTTCCAACTGCTTTATCTCTGTAAAATGATATGCTGAATTACTATAAGCTACTTGGTGTAGAAAGAACTGTTCCCTTAACTTATGTAAACAGTCTGCTTTTTGAAAGCTTAACAGTTGTGGCTCAGCAAGTTCAACACACTTAAGCCTTCCCGGAGACTGAGGAACCCCCCTACCTGCCCTGTTCACCACGATATATTCAGCACCAGGCACACTTTCTTTGACTTGCTTTTTTTCATTTTTGTGTTTTTTGAAAAATTAATATATATACATGGTAAGACATCCAAACAATACAAGAGTATACGTTGAAAAGTGAGCTTCCTGATGGAGCCTTCAGTTCCCCAGGCCCCTCTTTAGAGTTAATCACTGTTACCTATATCTTGTGTATCCTTTCTGAGCAATTCTATGCATTTATAAGTTTATAAATATGTATATTTATATATCTATTTTTAATACAAATGGTAGCATTCTATACACAGTGTTCTGAAGCTTGCTTTTTTCACTTATATAATGGAGATTGTTCCAAATTCATCCAGCGGGTCAGTCTGATTCTTTGAAAGCTAGCACAGTTCCTTGCATACACTAGTGGTTCAGAGAGTGTTTGAATGATTGAGTGAGTGCGTGCATGCATGCATGAGTGCAAGAATCTGATTCAACTGGTAGCTACGAAGTTCTCTCGGGGTCTGATCTGAGCAAGACAGGGTCCTCCAGGTTCTAGAACATTCCCCCTGTCTTTTCCAAGGGATTCAGGCCGTTGTTGACCTCCACCAACAGATGCCACAGCAGCCTTAGGAACTGGGCGCAGGGAGCCTTGGGCCCCTCTGGAGGAAAGAGGAGACTAAGACCCAAGCCCCAAGTGTGGGATTTTTTTGAGGTCTCTATTTAAAATGCCTTTTTCTTATTGGAAAACGATAAGGCATTATTGGAGAAAATAAAAAATATGTACATTTATAGTCCCGTCTTTTTTTTTCATTTTTGCATATTGCTTTCCAGTCGTTCAGTTCATAGCTGAATTTATGGTATAATTATAATAATGGTAGTTAACATCGAACTACTCTATATGACAGACATCACCCTCACGTTCATTGCCTTGTTTAGCCTCAAACAGTCCTATGAGGTAGATGTTACTATTATTCTTTTGGAGGTTCAGGGTTGAGTAATTTCCCTGAGGCCATGGAGCTAGTAAGGGGCAGAGCTGGGACTCAGGTGTGACTAGCACTACACTGCCTCTGATTTTGCACCCTACTTTTTTCTACTTAACATTATGTGTGGACATTTTCCATATTTCTACATAGCCTTGAAATCATTTTCAATCATTTTTGAATCACCATAATTTACTTACCCATTCCCCGTTTAATATTTAAATTTCCCACTTCATCAGTGCAATGAAGAGTGCTGAACATATAGCTCTTTGCTTCTGCAGGATTATTTCTCAGGAGTTTGTCCCTATTTTTCTTGACTAAAGTCACTGGCAGTGTGACAGAAGGAAGAAAGCCAGTGACTAGAAATCAGAAGCCTTAGGTTCCAGTCTGGACTCTGTAACTAAGTTGTTTGATCTCTCTTGGCCTCAGTTCTCACATCTGTCATGGTGGGGGGTGGGTGGAGATTTGGTTTAAATCTCTGGGGATCTTGAGCCTGGCTAGATTTTCTCTTCTCATTCATATATTTATGTCAAAATGGAGGAGACCTTCCCAAACGCAAGAACTCTTATTGAATTTCTTCTTTTGTTTATTTATTTATTGACTTTTGGTCTAGATATATAGAAAAATGCAAAAGATCCCTCCCACTCAGCCCCCTCCCTCCAAGGTAATATCAGTTTTGTTTGCATTTATTTATATTTCAATTTGCATCAGATTTACATTTTTTCAAATATAGTTTGAGCTCTTTTATGAGTACCTATTTCTTTTGGCTTTTGTCATGCCTTTCCAAGTTTGAACATTTTGTTTACTTGAGAATTTCCAAGTGTCTTCAAATCCTTCTGTTACCCAAGTGGCTTTTCATTAGGGACCTAGGTCCAGATGAATTCTTGAGCTAGTTCATTGTATCATGCATTGGCCTTTTAAAATGCTCTTATTTTTTATAATATTTATTATCATTTGCAAATTGAAATGGAGTTTTCAGTGCATGAATACTAAAAAATCAACAAATGTGTAATTAATCCTATGGAAAATGGGGCAGAGGGATATGATAAAACCATTTAAATCAATTCTAACTGTGATGAGCCCCTATCGTAGTGAGTGCTCCAGTGATAGTGCCTCAATAGCACCATCTCATTTCATGGGTGGGCATGGTATTATATATATGTACAGTATAGTATTGGTCTAAAATCTACTAGGTCTTACTTCTAAAACTTAATCCCATAGCCTTCTCCTCTATTTTCTGTGAAAATGGGGACAGTTGATTATGCCTTTGATGTTTGAAGAGAGTGATTCAGCGCCTCTTCCCTCTGGCATTCATTAAACTGGGAAGCTCCACTGTTTCTAAGCTTCCCTTCTCAGTTCTAGCCCAGGGCACACTATACAATTCCTATTTTCCTCTGGGGTTTTCTAGTTCTTAGATCAATTTGCTTGGAATTTTGCCGTAAGACTCACTGTGCATAGACAGGGCTGACTATTTTGGGTATCTGAGGAGGAAGCTAGGTTCTACTTTCTAAGAAGCTCTTGGCCTAAGAAGGAGGCTTCCCATTTCTACCCTAGATGGGTTCTGAGGAGGGCTTTGAATATGATTGTAAAATGGGGAAAGGGAGAAGACGAGGTGGGAGGAGTGGGGATGGTGAGGAGAGAAAGGGCAAGTGG